TCTGTTATAATTCTTTAGTATATTACTTGTGTGGTGTAGAAGAGAATTATTTATGTAGAGATACTGCTTGCAAACCAATGATGGTAAGATGATGTCATGGGGTAGGACTGGATAAGTCTGACTTCTTCCTACTCCATTCAAGCATGTACTAGGTATAAGCAAATTGATATTGTATTAGCATTTGTTGGATATGTGTGAAATTATGTGTGTTGACATATCAACTGTCTTTACATGCTTGAAAGAATAAATCAAATCAAATCAAATCAAATCAAAGACTGGGCACAGGGAAACAAGTAGCCTGGCTCTGTCACAAGGTAATAAAATCCAATGACGAGCACCTCCAAACCTCACTAGTTAACTCATTAATTAACCATGAACTGTCACTTCTAAAGGTGAGCTTTTCACAGATGGAGCAAATGAGACATCATGCGAGTTTTCGAGGTGCTGCTAGATGGAGCCAGGCTGGCTGTTTCTCCTTCTCCTGCTGACTGGCTGCTGGCTCTAGCTTCATACTGAACAGATATGGGAGTGGTGTCAGTCTTCTCATCTAACTCTTGACTAGAAAGTGAGGTTCAACTGAATTTGTAATATTAGTTTTTTCTTTCATATCTACATTTCCATTTCCAAGTCAGTTCTCGGTTCCCATTTTTTCGGTATAACTCACGGTTCTGGAGGTGGGCGGGGCAGAAGGGCTGGTGAGGGAGACCATTTCCTGGATGGCCAGGCGAAGTTTGAGCCGGTGCAGAGGGTTACTGATACCAATCTCCCTTTGGATCTCAGTGTCAGACAGGGCCGACATGATGGCTCCACTCTTCACGTTGGCACGGCACGCCGCCACGTACCAGGCCGGCATTCCCAGCCACAGCTGAACACACAGAGAGGAGAACAGGGGAGATTTAGTCTTGTACGACTGAAACTAGACAATTTTCTCTTCAAATCTGGTTTCCCATCTCATGATCTCTCTTGATCATGATTTTGTGTTTTTACTATTTTTATTTTTACAGTAACATGCAGCAGTCTGATTTCACTCCACACATATATGGGTTAACACTTTCTTTTTAGTTTGGCAGAGACTTTTGTCTCTAGGGAGTCAGTGTGCTATTTTGTGTGCTTTTCCATCTTGCCAAGAAGACAGTTGGCGGGAAATAAATTCTTGTTATTAAGCATTCAAATGCTCAATTCCACCTCCAATATGCAGCCCCAGTACCTATCTGTACCTGGAACATTGTGGTGTGGGGTCATGAACTGGCTGGTGGCTGTACATCCTCCACTGAACATTAGGGGGCAGTACTGTTTCTATATTTTGCCTTTTATTTCAAAGTGTAAAGCTATTGCAAAAATATCTGTTACAGGCACTAAGTCATTCACTGCAATGACTCATCATAAATTGTTAAAGTGTTATTTTGATTAATGATCAATGTTTTAGTGATTAAACATTAATACTCATTACTGGAATTGGGGTCATAGCTCATTACATTACTCATAATGCACCTGAACTAAGCAGCAATGTAAAATTCAATTCAGTTTAGTCTTTTTTATATACCTGTTATTTAAAGAAAAACTTTAAGGACAGAGGAAATCCAGTGGGAACATTTAAATACATGTTAGTAACCAGGTTCATACAGCTGCTGTTAAAAATACAGTTGATTACACATACTGAAAGAAATCCACCTGCAGAAAGGTTTGAAAGAGGCAGAAAACACTCGCTTACCTCAAGCCAGGCTACAACTGTTGGGCCATCCCACTGGGCGAAAGGTAAACCCTTTCTCCTGGCCTCCTCCAATAGCTCATGTCTGAGGTGGGGGCAGAGGAGACCTTATATGAACACAGGCACTTGTACAGCACAATAAACACACAGATACTCATGCCGATACACCACCACTCCCTCTTAAACACTCACACTGCCTGTCACAAACCCCTGCAGTAACAGCGCTGCCCTTGTGTTGTTGTGTATAGTACACGAGGAGAGTACCCGTACACCAAGTCCGGCCTGTACACCAAATGTGGGAAAAGGGTAACGGTTTATTCATCTCTGGGTTGTCTGAGAGCAGAGAACACAAGCACACAGTGGCAGCTACACTTAGAGACACACAGTCACACACACAGGCTTTGTATTACTGAACATGAGAGCATTCAATCCCAGACCCCTAATCCTGACTACATTTTCCTTGTCACACAAGCAGCAGTATTTCTAATTTACTACTAGTAGAAGTAAGGCCAGCCCTGGGCACTCAGCAGGATCTCTCAACTATAAACATATTTCATTACAATCTGATGGAAGTTTAGGCCGTTAACCAAGGAGTAAGCATAATACAGCAACATAATATATGGAACTCAGTCTGAATCACCCGATATTTGGCACATTTACTCCTTGCACACAGTCGTAATATTCCTGAACAGTATTCAGTTTTTCTCAAGAAACCACAGACTCACACACACATACACAGGAAGGGACTTTTTTGTAGTACCTGCTTAGTCACGCTGGACACTAACAATGCTAATCTAAGCACAATTGCCCAACACAACCCAGTTTAGCTACCCAGAATTTATTCTGCTGAGGAAGATTTTTTTTTTTTTGCACTGATATTTTTGTTGGTACAGTTTTTGAATCATGCAGCAAAACTAACTTTTCTTCACTTCTCTGGGCTCGGCTCCATGTTTTTAGCATAACCCAAGAGGGCTGACAGGTATTTTACCTTGACTCCCTTTGCACTTGGGCCAAACTACTCATCGCAACGTAAACTGCCCCATAATGACAAGGAGCAGGGAGTAGATGCTCCTGGTCTGTCGTGCACAGAGCTATTTGTATCGTGCTGAATCCTCCCACACTTGGCGAGAACCGATAAACTGCCTAAAAATGCCTGACAAACAGGGGACGAAGGAACACACTCTTCCTCACACCCACACATAAAACAACAATACAGTTCTTAGTCGATTCAGTGAATACATTTCATAACAAAACCTCAGAATCAACAACCCGTTCCCTGAGTACGCTGTCAAACACCTTGACAAATGGAGAGTGTGGGCTTAGTTATAAACATGTACAGTGGTACTCGCAGCTTTGAAGGCCTCAGTACAGTGAAAGGGCACTTAAACCCAGCATACATGGCAAACAGAAGCCTACAGGAAATGTGCTCAGACACAAGTGGGTACATTCATTGTCTCATCTATCCAGCACATGGGGGAGATAGCTCATGTTTTATGTTCAGGTCAGGTCTAATGCATGGAGAAATACATCCAGTGAACATAGCTGGGGAAAGGGAAGTAAGGAAACAGTTATGACAAATCATACAAACAAAAAGAACATCCCCATAACCAGATATTGCAGCTGGTTATTTCACACAAATAGAGACACAAATAAGGAGAGGAAGACATTCCGGGTTTACAAAGGGGGCCCCAGTTTTAGCGGCGGCACATTCTCTGTCCAGCCAAGGATGCAGCTGCCATTGAACTCTAGAAAGGGGGGGAAGAAACATCTTCAGATGATAAATGGGAAAAAAGAAAGAAAGCAATGGTGTTGTTTACAGCCATGAAAGATAGAGAGATAAACAGATAAGAGACGTCAGCTGTGGCACTGGTCTTTCAGGAGAGGACGGATGGTGCACAGACAGGAGAGATGGCAGACAATATGGCTGAGACAACGGTCATATCCAGGAGGTCAGTTATACATCCTCACAACTTACCCGCTTTGTTAGAGTCAGAGGATGATGAGAGGGAGAGGAAGGAGGCGAGGAGAGAGTCAGAGAGGGAAGGAGAGAGAAAGAGGGAGAGAGAGCGACGGGGAGACAAAAGTACACAAATGTTAATGACTTAATAAGGCAGTTAACGATACGGCTCTAAACACAAACACATGCGCACACACACCCACATATATCTCACGATGGAGGACATTTGTTTACAGGAGCATCTGTAGACCAATCAAAGAAATGTTGTCTTCTACAATGCAGTCCTGACCACATCTCGTGCAGCAGAGGAAATGAGAAATGCACTGAAACACAGCAAGACCCCCTCCCCCCAAATGTCCTTGCATTCAAATGCTCAGTTACATTCAGATACTTGTCATTATGTCTTGAAGAAAAAAAATAAATAAATGAAAAACACACACACCAACAATGAGACCACAGCAGTATTAATCGATCAAGATGCTGAAATGAAAATAGTGCCGGCAGCTGAATGGCATGCAGCGTGGAGGAGGCACCAAGATGCAAGGTGGTGGTGGTGGTGGTAGGGCCTTAGTCCCGGACACTGCTATGAAGAAGTCGGTGCAGTGGAAGAAAAACAACACATTTGTCAACATACAACAAACAATACTCTCTACTGACCAACTACATGGGAGGCAAAGTTATTCATCATGACAACCCAATGTGCACTTCGAGCAAATGACATTCATCATTTGGCACTGGGGCATGGCAATGCACGCACGCACACACACGCGCGCGCACACACACACACATTCTGCAACAGTCCTGGCAAAAGGTTTGCATGTGGTTCCCCTTTCCTGGAGGGCAGAACACACCTGAAGTGACAGAGTGTAATCTGTGGCTGGTGTGTTAGAGAGTTGTCTAAAATGTCCCAGCTGACAGACTGGTTTTGTTAGACTCAATGGCTTTTCAGCCTGGATCAGTAATCTAAACTCTGCTCCTGGATCCTGATCACGCCTCCTGCTTCCTATCTGTTCTCAGTGTGGGTTATAGCATTGTATCAGGAAGGAGGTTAACGGTAAATGCAGGAGGTGGAGGCTACAGTATAACTGTCACACTATCTGTGAGGTGTAATACAGAGAATACAAAGCTTCCTCTGTGGATGACTGTGTACTTATACAGCCATGTGTTAGCAGATGTGTTAGCTGGGTAGGAAAAGACCCTACTAAGGATCAACTGTATGTGGGTTGATCTGGGGTGAAATGACGGTCGTGGCGACTAGGGAGGTGAAAGCTTACTTCTTTTTCAACCTGCGGTCCTTCTCAGCCTGAGTTCCCAGTTTGCCCACTCCCATGTCCTGCCCTGCCATGTCTGGGTCCATCATGGTTGCTGATAAGAGGGGTGGAACACAAGATATAGTGAATACCATTTAAACTTAATGTAGTATATATTTTTTACACTTTTATTGGCATAACTACTGTATCTATATGTCTACTTTTATTGGCATAACTACTGTATCTATGTCTATATATCTACATTTCAAGTTAGAAACGCAGAATTAATTCCGAAATCTTTGAGTGAAAAATAGTCAAACTGCAGGATATTAGACAAAATATTGGCAAATCCCAATAAGTGCCGTTGACTTTAGGGTAGAAAATGTGCTTGCAGCTCCTCTAACTCACCCTGTGGATCCACCATGACCTGTCTGTGTGCCAGGTGTGCTAGCCGGCCTTTCTCCTTCTTGCCAAACAACCGTCCAATGGAGGATTTGATGCCCTTCTTCTTTGGCTGCTTGTGGAGGGAGTCCTGGCTGCTGGCAACACTACTCAGGGCGCTGGCCTCAGCCTCCAGAGAGGCCACAATCCTGAGGACACAGCATGCAGACAGCATAAGTGAAAGAGTTGTTAAATGTTTAAGAGATCATTTCTCAAAAGTCAAACATTTTGTTTTCTGGTAATAATGTTTTGATTGATGAAAACAGACAGTACTTAGCAATGATTCAGTTCTTTAATCCTCAGCACCTTTCTAAGAATTGTCACCTCACTTAATATTTAACACCTTTTGCTGCTGTGTTACTTTCCAAGTACAAGTCAAACAGCATCGATCTTCTGTGTGGGACACTGGCAATATTTTCTGCTTTCCCCCGCTATAGTTTCCAAGATTATTTATGCACCATTACCAAAGCTTCGTCTTACCTAATGTCACTACTAAAGCCTGTGCTTTAAATTTGATAAAGTACCCAGAATATCTGTAAGGGCTGAAAAATTATTCGTGGCAAATTGCAGCTAAACTGGAAGCTCTAAGTGAGCAGTAAATCATCTCATTTACATCCAAAGCAAGAACGGGCAGAGCTTCTGTACATCAAGCTTGCATTTTACAAAGAAGAACAGCATTTGCATTTAACATACAAATGCAACTGCAGGAAAGAGGTCCCCTGACAAAGGTACTGTACACTCAGTGGGAGTCAGTCTAAACATTCAGCAACAAGATGCCAACACTTCTCAACCAACAAGACTACTTCTGCCTTTAAGAAGTATTAGGCACCTACCCTCGTGCGTCATTGTGCGAGGAGGCTGGCAGTGTGTGTGTCATTCGGACGGTGCGTGGTGTTGGAGGGGGGGACGTCTCACACTTGATGGTGGCCTTGTCCTCGCGGCCATCCTCTTCCACCGCTGCTATCTGAGGACCGATGGTAAAGGAGCGGGACATTAAACGAGACCCTCGGATACTCGTAAATCACCATTTGTCCAGAGGAGTTTACAGTAACCATATTATTAAACCGTGAACTCGGGGGACCTCGTGGCTTTATAACATCACATTCCAAATCTGTGGATACAAGTGGTGCTGCATGTACCTTCCTCCTGTGTTTCCTCAGATCACTGGGCTGTTGGGAGCAGAAAAGAAAAAGGTCAATATTCATGTGTTACAGCATTGACAAATACACTACAGCTTGCATACTGGTAATAAATGACAGACCTGTGGCTCATTCATATAAATATCACACACCATTAGGTGCTCACAAAAGCATCAGTTCACACATCAGAATCCAGAGGGACAAAGACGGACTGCTAAACACATCATCTGATGAATCGATACAATCAAAGTCTTGCTTCTTTAAAAGGCCCAAGGTAAGACAAGCTTTTACACAACACCCGTTGTTGTTGTAGCAGACTGCAGGTGCGTATAGGAACATTTTTAGCATGGTAGCATTCCTCTTAATGGGCTTATGTAGACTGTTTAAGCCTTGGGTCAATGTGGTGAGAGTGTTAGAGGAACCAGGCTGTTGAACATAACATTGGCTGTTTTATGCTGTGGGCATATGGAACCCTTTGCACCATGGAGGGAGAAGTGTTTTACACTGTAGCTATGTACCTACAAATGTGGTGCAGTCTCTAAAAATAAATCTTAAATCACTGAATGTTCCCCCTCAGATATAGCACATACTCAAACTTTAATCAAATGCAAACAGCACATTCACAAGCTGTTGCTCTTGTAATGGTCATTTGTTTTGCCATCATGTGATACGTATCCGAGACACCACTTTTCTATCAGGTTTAGATTAAGTCTTCTAGCAAAAAACGAGACTGTTACAATTTTAACGGCCCTTTTGCCCCATTTTGTGTGTGATGTTTTGTGTTATACGGTGCCACAAATAAACTAGTTAGTAACAAAGGACAAGGTCATAAGTAAACTGTTGATAAAATTCCAACTGATCCCAGATTTACTTCACACATACATTTTTAATTCAAGCACTTTTCAAACGAGTCAAAATATAACCACTGTATAACCACTGTATATACGTTTATCTTTTTCATATTGTATAAATGTATATATAATAAATAGTTTTGTGTATTTTTTCCTTATGTCTTTTTACTTCCTATTATGAAAACATCATTTTTCCTGTTACTTTATGAAAGCACATTGAGAGCCAGTGTACTGGAGTCAAGTTCCTTGTGTGTTCAACATACTTGGTCAATAAAGCTGATTATGATATTTTAAACAATGATGCCTGTTTACCACTAAATGTCCATCTTAATATGCCAGTGGCTTATATTCAGTCAAAGACAAATATCAGTTTTTACAGAAAACATCTGATACTACACTACATCGCCTGTTTGGAGGACTGTAGGGTAGGACAGGGTTAATCTAAAGTATCATGTCATCTACTGTATTTAGATTCCCAGGGGTGAATATGTTTGAGGCCTGTGATGTAATGTACCAGTGTCATGACCCCCATGCGCTCCATGTCACGGGCGGGGCTTCGAGGATCCAGTTTGGGAGTGGAGTGTCCACTGGGTGGCGAGGAGGAGGCCAGGGATGAGGCGGTGGCTGAGGCGGTGATGGAGGCTCCATGGTGGTGCATTCGGGCCAGGTTGAGCCCCTCAAGGCTGACACTGGCCACACGATTCTCAATCTCCTCCGCCCGAAGCTCCGTCGACTCCTTCTCCTCCTGTATCAGCCTGGGAATAGGAGAGAGGAGGAAACGTTAGAGAGAGGGTTGTATATTTATATTGTAATGTGAATATTTTGGGAGGAACAACAATTAAATTGTGTTCATTTTCAGCTTAAACAAAAATGGACTCCAGTATACACATCTGGACAAGTTCTGCACTTCAACCATCAGATCACTACCAGCGTTACAGAGGAAAGCTTTACCTATAGATGTATTTAGAGGTGGATTTCTGGAGATTTGCAGAACTAATTCTAATAAATACCCACAGTATACACTAATTAAAAGCCAACATGAGGAGATAAAGGGCAAAAAGCCAGGTCATTACTTTTAACCAAACCCAGGGTTTAACTTTGTAATTAGCTGAGAGCTTGACTACTTGGATTCATGATCACTACCTGCTGA